AAGAGGTCAATGATAGACTAACCCCCTTTATCAAATCAGCCCCTACACGATGTTAGTCACTCCTCCAGATTCCCTAACCAGGCTTTTTTATTACATGACTGAACACCTCGGTCCAGATCAAATCATCTACAGCTAACTACAGTGTACATTTGACTACATACTTCCTCTCAATAAAAGGAAAACACAACACAACGAATATGTCTTCTCAATTCTTCATACATCAACATCTATCTACTATCATCTTCTATAACCAAATTTCATACCACCAATCACCATATATTAATTAATTCCGGAACAATACTTTCATTTTATACTCCCATTTTACTACTCCTGCAAGTACGAATTTATCATACTCAACAAGATCACAGACTATACTTCATATATTCCCCGCAAGGCTGTGTCCTCCCCATTACCCGCTCCCCCCTCCCACCACTACCCACTCGCGAACCACTACCCTTATTCTAACCCTCTCAATTAACTCACCCTCCAACCATCACCCTCTACACTCGTACATCCACTAGACACCCTCATCTCTTCTCTCGCCTCTCACATAACAACCACCACTCACTATAACTCTCTGCTCTCTCTACAATAACCCTCCTCTCATCATCACCTCAACAGAAAACCCGCAACTCCCTCACCTCTCGCCTAATCCCTTATTCCCCCTCCCGCCCCTCTCCCTATACCCCCTCCCCAAACTCCTCCTCTTTACATCACTAACCCTCCCTCCTCTCCTAAATCACCATCCCTCCTATCCAATAATAACAATGCACAAAACACCTCCCACCGCCTCTCCCCTGCACACCCCCATTTCCCTCTCCGTAACATATTATCACCCAAGTACTGTACATATATTCTCTTTAATTTTTTTCGACGGATTATTATATAATCCGTCCATTTGAGTTATACTCCAATTACAAACAAAATAAGTTCTAATGGCCCTTCTGATTTCCATGTATATATACAATAGATCTGAATTGTCAAGTCGACATTGTCCTACATCTCCAGTTATTAAGTCCTAGATAGATGCTTTTTTTTTGCGTGATTAAATTTTAATAAGAAAACTCTACTATTTGGAATATATGATGGAAAACATTGATATGATCTCAACTTGTCATACATAAAAACACTCATGAGATAATTAAGATATAAAAAAAAAGATGCTAATTCAAAGGATTCAGGCTCGTCCTAATACAGCTGAATTGATTTTCTCACGATCACATCACTCTCTTACTATTTAGCTGACTATCATTGAAACCTGTACTGATCTTTGGTTGTATAATTTTTCTATTTGGTTTTAGTGTGGCCCTTTAATATAGCTTTATTCATAATACTTGAATCCGGAACTGCTACTCCACTCGAAGAAACAGACTGTCAGTAGCCGTCTAACATCACTAAGGTATTCTCCGTGTTAATCATGTATAAATAGATAAATGAACTCACTACTAAAACTGTACCCTCCATGTTAAACTGCTACCAAAGAAAGGCTAATCCCTAATAAGGAATCTGCTTCAGTATAAATAACTTACGATTCCAAGCTCCTTCTCTACATTAAACCTAGGTCTCAACTAGGACATGAAATGTCTCGAGTGACTACTTCTATTATATACTCGGAGCCAAACCCCACCACCCGTTCCGACCATAATCAGTCCTCACCCTCCTTAATGTCAGAATTGTTTATAAGGCCACCAGCCAAACGCCTGCCGCTTCACAGCTCTATGCCCTCTAAGCGCCCAACCTGGTCCATCCTAACGATTGCTCGAAACTGCTACAGCAGTTCCATTCGCCACAACACCGATGCATCGAAATGCGTGCGGCTCCACATATGTATATAATAATTTTGATGTCAACACATGACTATTGCTAGGAACAAAGAATTTTCAAATGAACGAAAAAAGGACACAGCACACCAAATGGAGGACTTTTTCTTGACTCCTCTCAACACCCGCTGTCTAAATCGCTCCGACCCTCCCACACCTTCCCCTCCAAAAAATACATGATGATAACACATCCCATTTAAGCATTCTCTTCTACTAAAAACTGGTCTCTCCATCTTTCTCCTATCTTCACACAACCCGCTATTCAGACATTTTAATCAATATGCCCTTTAACTGAATCCTGGACTTCCGAGTCTCCTCAATACAGTTAAATATCTATACAACTAACACAGCCACTCACAACTCCACTCTACACATACTTCTCAGGCAGGTAACCACTAACAATCCCCTCGTTCGACTCACCTTGCATCTAACACGAACCAAAACACGACTTACAGACCTCAGTCTTCTACACACAAAGCTCAAAAAAAAATGAACTACCACTACTAATCTACACGTATCAAGCAGGTCTCTGACTCTTCGTGCAACTGTCGACCCTCTTCCCCCTTCATAAGAAACATTTTGTTTCCTCAGACCAAATCGCCTAACCTTCCTGCAACCAGCTCAGCAGTTTATGATAACATCTTCGTTAGGAACAATAAATATCAAATAACCAGACAACG